CCTGTTTGGTGATGAGGAGACACAGAGACAAATGTTGACTTAGGAACAGGAAGGACCCCTAGAAGACTTAAAGACAGTGGACTGCTTTAGGAAACAGTGACTGTTCAGAGAAGCACGGGCCCAAGGACCACTTGGCAGGGAAGTTGGAGATGGAGAGGACTTGGTCTCTCTGGATGCTCTGAGTGTTACAGGGCAGGGAGAGGGGCACCCCAGGACCCCCAAACCTGTCCGCTCTGAATAGGTTCTACCATCTGCCTCTTCAAGACAAAACATCTAAGACTTTCAATGGAAGGAACTTTAATACAATTAGTGTGCAATACAGAAAAGACAAAGAATACAGAAAAGACAAAGAATATAGTTTCCAAATCAAGCACCCACATTTACCCATCCCCTCATGGGTAAATGTCCAGCCAAAAGGATTGGCACAAAGCAAGTCCCTAAAGCCTGTCTCAAATCTAAAGCACCTTATGGCGGGAACCCATGGAAAAGAATCAAAAACAGTCAGATGAGTCTGGGAGGAAAAGAGAAAAATCAAAGTCAAGATAAAAGCTGCCATGTTTACTGCCCCACGGGTCTCTCACCCACATCTGTTCCAACAAGTCCAGGACAAAAAGCAAGAGCTGCTTCTTCATATAGTCTCTCTCCTCCTAGTGTCTCCTCCAGGTCTCTTTCTTGCTCTCCATCCTGCTTCCTTCCTTCTCCAGTCTCCTCTCCAGCTACTTCTCCCTGCTCAGATCCACCCTCCCTTGGGTAGGGCAGGGAACCTGGAAGCTCCCCTTTTCCTGGGGACTACCCTGTTACATGAGCATCTAAGACTTTCCATGTGATTTTGTTTATTATCAGATTTCTATTGCTGTGATACATTAATTTGGCTCTTTCTGTTTCTCTGAATTTTTTTATTTTTCTATAGAATCATGTGAGACATTAGTAAGAAAGAATTCCTGTCACAGAGAATATTCCTGACCTTTGGGATCTTGTGTCTTTAATGATTAATATATATATATATATATATATATATATATATATATATATATATGGTCTCCCATTGGTAGCCTCTAATCATTGATCTGCATGTGCTGAATCATAATGTGGCTGTGAACTCTTTAATGTCCACTTAGTGAGCCTCAGCACTCACTTAAAAAAATTTAGTGTCTAGAGATCTGTTCTTCTGAGCCCCTTTGTTGGGTGACTTAGAAAGCTCTTGACACCTTAAAATGAGAGAGTGACTGTTTTGAGTTTCTTTCTGCCTTTTTTAATGCCTCTTGTCAGCTATACATTTTGAATCAAGTACTGTCTATTCTGCTGATTTTAAAATTTGTAATAGAATTCCAGAGGCATTGATTTAGTAAAGTGGCAGCCAGCTGAGTGCCACATTTATTTAATTTCAAGCAAAAACATGACAGCGAAGCGCTGTTTCCCTTGGGACCCACTCAGTGGCTGAGTGTCCTGTGCTGCTGAGGGGCATCTCATCAGACATAAGATGCCGTGAATTAATTTCTTGGCTGTTGCTCTCCAGCTGAGGCTGCTGTCCTGCTGCTCAATAGATTCCGGTCTATCCCTGGTACATAGAACCTCTACCCTGCATGCAGTTCTTTGCAAGCATTGTTCTGGCAAGAGACTAAAGCATCTTTTATCACCACCACTATATAATAGCAGAAACATTTATTATTTATTCTATGCTATGCATTAGATGAAGTGCTTTATCTGCATTATCTTATTTAATCTCCATAATGATCTTATAAAGCAACTTTTATTATTATCCCTTTTTACAAATGAGGACACTGGAGTTGAGGCACATCATATACTTGTCGGAGGTCATGTAGTGAATGAATGATGGAGCTGAGAAGAATCCAGGCTCTGTTGGAGCCCAAATTATTGGTAACTCTGTGACTAATTATATTGCTCAGCTGAATGTTTAAAGTGAAGCATTAAGCATGTCCCATAAACATTATTAGAAATTTTAATACCTGTTGGCCCATAACCCCTGTCTTCTATTGACAGATGCACCATAATTTATGTGTGAGTATATAAACAATTTTTTTTTTTGTACCATGTCTGTGAAGATACTCTAAGTCTGTCTCTAAACACAAAACCTCAGACAGGTAAAGTGACAACATCTAGAGAGTTTCAGTTATCCTCATAGCTGGAAATGAGGGAAGTCAGTAATTCGGATTTAGTTTCTGTGATAATAAATCGGCTGCTCTTGAATAAACATACCTCTAAATTATAATCCCATGGAATTTGAAAAGTATACCTCAGTCTCTTCCTTCTTCCTGTGCTTCTAAAACAAAATATAATAAAAGAGATTGGAAAGATAATATCCAGATGTGATATCCATGGTCAATTGTTGCATTGACAACACTGCACTGACAAAAGGGAGTTGTGGCGCAAGCTGTATAATGCTGGATGCTGCTTGATGAGCAAGATCCTGGCCTTATTTATTCATAGAATTATCTAGCATCAGTTGTAAGGGGCAGGAGGACAAAGAGAAAAGGGAGGGATGAAATTAGAAAATGTGCTCTGTCATCTATACAGGGGTTGTGAGTCTGCCCCCAGGCACTTCTCATCTGCTTGATGAATCGTTATTGTAATTGAAATCAAGCCCTAGATTCCCCCTCCACATGGTTTCAATCTTATCAACAAGGTGTTCCACTGATGAGCTTCTGGGGTCCCAAGTCATACATCAGTCAGTGGCCCCTCAGGTGTTTCCGGCCATACTTCACGATGCAGACCCTTCCCAGGATGAACAAGCTTTCTGCTCTTGATTGATTTGAAAGGCACCTTGCAGGGGTGGGCTCCTATAACTGATTGACTGGGTAGTTTTGACCTTGTATAGGAATGCAGAACCATAGGTAACAAAAATGGTGGCCAAACAGGCCCCTTAGGATTAGCAAATCCAGCCAATAATCTAGATGACAGTTTCCTCATCCCTAGGAGTTACCTTGTACATTATGTGATCAAAACCAGATAATTTTTTTTGCCATTTGTGTTAGTGGTTTTTAAAACTTCAGGTCATATGTTTTGGTGCCTGAGGGTGTGAAGCACTCATTGTACCTGACTGCTTACTACAGGGAACAATGGGATTGAATGCCAAGGTCACAGGCAGGAAATTCTGCTTTAGGCAGAGGCATGGGTAACGCCTTATTTTGAAATAATTTCAAACTTACAGATGAGTTGCAAGAATAATACAAAGAAGCCCTATATATCTTTACCAAATTTTATCCTTTTTTGTGGCATTTATTTTTCTTTCTCTCTACACACATGCATGTGTATTTATTTTTCTGACCCAATTAAGAGAGGACTCAAACACCACGTCTTTTTCTACACTGTAGCGCATATGTCCTAACAATAGGGATGTTCTATTGCTTCGCCATAGTTTAGTGAAGAAATTTAGGAAATTTAGTTTTGAAGCAGCACTTTTGTCTAATCTACCTTCCATATCCAAATGTCCTTTAATGCAATATGGGATCTAATTCATGCATTTAATTGTCATGCCGCCTTAGTTTTCTTTCACTGGGAACTGTTCTTCAGATTTTCTCTGATGAAATTGATACTTTTGAAGGATATAAGCCAGTTTATGAAGAGAGAATGTTCCTCATTTGGGTTTGTCTGATGTTTCCTGGGGAAACAAAGGTGTGTGCTTTTCAGGGTGTTCCACCCAGAGGCACACACAACCCTGTCTCTCACAGGTGATTCATTTTGTCACCTGGTTGAAGTGCTGTCCAGTCTCTGCTGCATCATTACCATGTCTCCTGTCAACCAGTGTGCTTTGATTTCAAACAGTGCCAGACTTTGGGGATATGAACAAAGCCAAATAGTGATATTTAGTGCTATTTGTTCCATTTTTTTCTGTGCCAGCCTTTCTTTTCTTCCTTCTTTATAGATGAATAATCTCAATAGACAATAACTGCCAAATAGACCTTGATTTATGTGCTCAAAATCCCTTTGAAATGCTGACAATGTTTCAATATAAAAGTTTCAATTAAGTAATTTTTGAAAGGTAATAGTTGCACATAACACAAAACTCAAAAGATCCTAAAGGAGCATTCAGTGAAAAAAAAGCATTAAGTCTCCATCATATTCCCATTTCTCAGCCATACAGTTACCTTCTCCAAAGGCCAATTTATTGCTGCTTTTTCTAGAGATGCTCCATGACTAGCATAGATGAGTGTGTGTGTGTGTTGCTTATCCCTCCTCTTGATGGGCCTTAGAATTCTTCCAATGTGCTCACAGATATTTATATAGTTCTTATCTTTTGCCATTAAAGGATTCTCTGAATATTTTCATACACATGTTTCATAGTACATATGCTTAAGTTGTTCTGTAGAGTAATTTTCTAGAAGTATAATTGGTGAGTCAAAGAATATATGGCGTTTTATTTGAGATAGATATTCCAAAATTCCTTACATAGAAATTGAGTACCATTGTTAAATTTTTGTATCAATGAACATTATATTTAAGAGCCTGATTTAAAAAGTCTAAATGTTGATCCTTGAGAATCCAGAAGTGCAGTTTTTTCAAGTGTCAATGTATCTTTTTAATAAGACATAAAATCATGGGATTTTATAGTGCTTGATAAGGACCTTAGCATTGTCAGATGAATGTGATTTTTAAAATTTTTAATAGACTATATTTTACAACAGTTTTAGCTTCATAGCAAAATTGAATAGAAAAAATACAGTTACCATTTACCTCCCTCCCCACCCAAATACACACACTCAGCACCCCCCACTATCAGCATCCCACTAGAGTGGGATATCTGTTATCAGTGACCCTCCATCAACACATTGTCACCCAGAATCCATAGTTTCCATTAACGTTAACTCTTGGTGTTGTTCACTTAAATGTGCTTTGAAAGCTATTTTGGAGTCTATATTTGCTATACTCAAAATATTCAAGACTGTTAATTTTCTAAGTTCTTGTATCAGAAAATCTCTCTGTATCTTTTTAATTATGACTCTTTCTTTATTCCTTTTTTTGTAATGATTATATCTTTATAGTTTACTTAACTTTAAGGTCAGCTTTTAATACCATATCAACCGAGAGAGAAAAACTGAAGCAGCTGATGGAACAGGATGTCTCCTCCTCCCCTTCTGTCCAGGTCATCGGTCTGAAGCACGCCCTGTCATCTGTAAGTTAACATGTCTGTGTCACTGAAATACCCGACAATGTGTCCAGGTTCATACATTTTTTATATTTTCCACCTTCCTGGTTGTGTTGAAAATTCATGATTCTTTTGGTTGTATTGAAAATGCATGAGAAAACCAAACACATTATCCAAATTATATTGTAACCTTTCATCACATCTACTTAATGTCAACTCCAATACCAAGCCTGCTCCAAATCTTAGTAGCTAGGACTTTATTAAGTGTTACTTTAAGTTTGGTTTTCTACTACTCATCTTGATTTTTCCATTTCTGTAAAGCTTTTGTTGTGTGTTTGTGTGTCTTGCATTTATTTGTTAATGCTTACAAAATATGACAGTTTGGAGATTTCTGTTCCTGAGACTCTTCAAGCTTAGATTGACTTTTCAAATGACAGGTAGTAGAGTAAAATTTCTAAATCATACTCTTCTCTTCTCTGTACAATACCAGTCCTATTTACCACTCTCAACAACAAGAATGTTATTTGATTTGATTTGATAGTACAAAAACCATTTAGCTTTCTTCCTCCTCCATGAACACAAAGAGATATCATACAGAATGTCAGGTAATCATTGTGCCTTCATAACAACAGAAAAATCACTTCTTAGTGTCAGATGTTACCCAGTAAGCCATCCTGTCAGTTGCTTTCGATCCTCTTTTTCATTAATTCCAATTTATTCCTCAGAAGACTTGTGCTTTGTTGAAGTGCATTGTCATAGAACTCTACTTTGAACTGCCATTGTCAGTTTTTCACCATGTTACCTATTGGAAAGCCAGAGAATTTTTGAAGTAACTTACTGTCACCCTTTGGAATCTGAAGGGGACTAACTAGTTTAAACCCCCCACCCGCCGCCACTACCATCAACAGGGATTCCGAAATCCATGGATGCTCTAGTGTCTTCTATAAAATGACAAAATATTTGCATGTAACTTTGCATATCCTCCTGTGTACATTAAATCATCTTTAGATTAATCATGCCTCATATAATGTAAATGCTATGTAAATATTATTATATGGTATTGTTCAGGGAATAATTACAAGGAAAAAATCTGTGCATGTTTCAGATAGACTCAAGCAAATATTGTAGGTCAAGGTACATGGTATGCATTTTCCGTGCATGGTTGTTTGAATCTGTGGATGTGGAGCTTGTGGGTAATGAACACTGAATATGCTTATTTGTTCCTACTGTGTATAAGTGTACTGCTTTACTTTGAAATTCCTACTGTACAAAAGAGAGAGGGAATGTGTTCCCTTTTTAAATTATCATCTGAATCAATACTGAACTTTCTGTTCAGGGTCAGGAAAGGAGAAGAATTTTAGGAACATGTTTTCAGAAGCCAAGGCAGGCATTGAGAAATCAAGAAAATACATTCATATTTTCCATTCATTGTCATTGACTGAGAGAAGCAAAGTAATGTTCTTTGTGTAATATTTATGGTAAATACATTACCGGTAGCACGTATCATTGTTGTAAATTTCTTGAAGAACATTCTCTCAGTTGAGCATTCCAGGATGCTGTCTTTGAAAGAAGAAAATAATGTCTACTTTTTCCATGTATAAAGGTTTTAATGTCATCTGCCTGGAGGAGCTCTGGGCAGAGCTCTTAGCTTCTTGCTCTTTTAGAGATATTAGCTCTCCCTTTGGGACCCTCATGAATAGCTGTCGCCTGGATGGGTGCTGCTACTATGGCTTGAGAGACCCAAGGTGTTTTTTTTTTTTTAAGTTTATTTTTTAGTGATGTAAAGCTTGCTTATTGTTCCCAACAGGTTGACTTTTAGTGCATTTAGAAGGAGCCTCTGATAGGCTGCCCAAGTCCCTGTAACTATGGTTTTTCTTTCCTCTAGCTGCCTCCCATGGGTGTGGTCTCTACTTACCAATCTCTTTGCTGGAGACCATTGAGACCTATTTTGTTGTGGCACCTGAAGTTGTTCCCCTTCAAGAGCTAATATTGTTCAGGATTTTGGAAACTTAAGATGAAACTGGATGTTCCTTTATGGCTTGCATTCTTGATTAGATTCAAGACTTGTTTTTTTTTTTTTCTTCAATGAAATGTTAGAGTCATCTCTGAGCAATGAGATTGGATATTTTTGTGGTCTGTGTGCAATCTTGGTATTTTTCTTTCTTCTGTTGTGGCTTAAAAGAGAAGCTACCAAAGTGACACATATTTTAGACCATACTAAGATCCCACCCACTTAGATGAAAGGCCAGCGACATATTGGCTAGAATAAAGTACCCATAGAGACTGTTAAATGCAGCTGTATGAAAAAACACTACTTCTCTGTTTCATATATGATCCGCAATAATTTCCAGATAATTGAATCCATCCACAAGTAGTGAAGAATAAAGCCAAAATCCTTGTTTTGTTTTGAGGCAGTGGTCATACAGTGCGAGTACCCTTCTGTGCTCTCATAGGTAGACCCTGTGGGCCTGGTGGATGGGAAAGGTTCTGAGCTTCTTGGAAGGGAGTCGGGAAGACAGACAGACAGATGTGTGTGCAAGCATCTGGGGAGCTGATTGTGGGTGAGTGGCGGGGAGGTGGGGGGAGCACAATCAGATGAACTTGTCACTTTCCAAAGACAGGTCAGGAAGCTCACTGGATGTCAGCCTAAAGGAAGGAACTTCCTTTAGCCTCGAGCTAGTTCCCTCCTGGTGGGGCAACTGGCATAGGGAATCAGACTTCCCTACGGAGACATGAAGGAGGTCAGGGATGGGTTCACACATGCTCCCATCTCACCCATTCCCAGGGCCATGGTCCTTAGCCCTTTTCCAGGTAAGTGAGATTGTTTTTAATGATATCTCATTGAATGGAGAAGAATAAATGAATAAAGAATGAAAAAAAAATCAATACCATATTGGAAAATAATAAAACATTTTTCACAAAATCCTACTTCCCAGCACACTTCCCAAGATCCAGTGCAACTGGAGTGGTAATTAAATGACAATAAAATATGTCCAGTCATGAGGGGCAGGAGCAGCCTCTTTTTTAAATATGAGAGAAGCTGGGGGGAACTTAGGGGGCTGGCTGGCCGAAGAGACTAAGACAGCTGGGCAGGAAGATGCCCTGAAACACAGTCATTATAAGAACTGAAGGTGCTTGTGATTTCCTCCTCCACCAAAAGGAAAGCCCTACCAACCCCTCCTTCCATCTCTGGAAATGAGATTAGAGAAAGGTCACTGTTTCTAGGTTTAATATTTTTTATCTCCCAGACATCTCAGAGCTGGCCTCCTGGATAGCATTCAAGGAAAAGGTCCAGGAAGTGCCCCATCTGGACTCTGTCACCTTGGGCCCTCTGCTGTGCTTTTCTGAAACATCCTTTTATTAACGTAGCCCCACTATTTTTAACATGTTCCAGGCCTTAGCACAAAACACAGATCTTAAAGAACGCTTACGCAGAATCCATGCTGAGTCTCTGCTCCTCGACCCCCCCGCTGCTGCCAATTCGGGTGACAGTCTGGCAGAGGTGGGTAAGGCTTCTTGTCTGGTAATGTCTCTGCGACCGCCACCCCTGCGTGATGCCCTCTGTCTCCCACCTCCCCCTCATGAGTGGTGCTCACCTCTCCACCTGCCTCCCAGGGCTGCTGCAGGCACAGGCATCCTGGTTCCCCAGGCTTTCTTGAGCATGTGCTGCTAATTGCATTTTAAACTGCTTTCCCCTTTATACTCCCCCAAAACTCTTCCCTTTGTAGTTCTTTGCCCCTATTACTCTCCTAAGTATCCCCCTTTTCATTAGGTTTTATGAAATAGGAACTGTGGAGAGAAACACATTTTCTCCCGTAACTTTATCAAACCACTACCCCATTCCCCACCACCCCCAACCAGAGCTGCTCCTTTCTCTTTTCCTATGATTTTTTCTTTGGTTTGTTTTAAATTATATTATTTTTATTGAGGTAACATTGGTTTACACCTCTGTATGTGATATAGAGGTGGAAATGTATGTTACCATTCCACACCCACCATCAAGACACCACAGTCCATTGTGCCACCTCCTCCCTCTGCTCCCCACCCCAGGATGCAAATTTTTTTGGCCCTAATTCTTTTTTTAAATCATTATTTTATTTTTTTAATTGTATTGTTTTCATTGAGGTAACGTTGGTTTGCAACACCGATGTTTTATGGACATAGAAAATTTATTACAATTGAAGTATCTAGGTGAGTTAAAATGGTTTTTTAGCAAGACTTAGGAGGTTTATCCAAAATATTCTGTGAGAAATTTTAGCAGCATGCAAGTGACTACTTAAAAAAATAGATGAAAAGCATAATGGTTAAAAATGGTTTTTAGCTATCTCTTATATTTAATTCCTTGCCTCAGACATGCAGAAACCTTCATTAATGACTATATTGTGTTGAGTTCATGTAAGATAAAAAATAACGACGGTGATATACAAGATATGTGTGTGGGGGTGTAAATTTTTAAAAGGGGTTTCTAATGTGTAATCTTAATCCATCTTCCTCCTTTTCCTGTTCTCAAAGAAACAAAACCCTCACACAGTAGCTTCACTCCCGGGAAGCTATCTTGTCTGCCTCGGTCTCCAGTCAGCACGCACACCTTGAGGCCTGGCATTACCTCCATTTGAAGTGCAGTCCATGCCAATGCTGCAGGAACCCTCTCTTTGGATGGGGCATTATCCCCGCTCTGTAGAGGCTCCTGGATTTCTTATTACATCTGAGAAATATGTCAGAGGTTGATGATAATATTCCTCTACACGTTCACCATCCCAAGGAGAGTTTGTCAGTCAGTTTATCCCAGACTTTAAACTGGTCACCTAAGGATTAAACACCTAAACTTTGTGATGCCTTCATTTTTGCCTGGGGCCCAGAAATGTGCTCTCTGGCAGGCTTCCGGCTCTGTGTTGAATTTGCACATTTGTTAAAGCAGGGCCCAGTCACTGTGACAGGCCTGAGGGTTGTTTGCTGCCAAACGCCCCGGCATTGTATGGGGTATCGTGTCTATTTCTAGACAATCCTTGCCTTTCAAATAGTATTTTCTCCTAACTACATCTATTTAACAATTTCGTTGGTAAATAGAGAAATGAATGGTTGACCCTTCATTTATGCATTTATGAATTTATGCTTAGTGTGATTATTTGATACTGTTTGAGTTTTGAAAAAGAAACCAAAATCACAAGTCTTTCAAAAACCATGTTTTTAAATTGATCTCACAAACTGTATACCTGGCTGCTTAGGCGCTATAAATTGTCCTTGAGCAGGAGTGATGACATCCCTCAAGCTCACACCTTCCAAAACAGTCTTTGGAGTCTTGAATTGATGGAGCCATTGTCTTATTTATCTATTTCCCCATTCAGCGTTTTCTTTGTCTTTAACCCACATGTCATGTCCCTGAGTGACTCGAGCTAACTTTGCCAGATTGGGGAAAGCTATTGTTGCATTCAGGAAATAAGAGAATAAGTGGAAATGGCTGACCCAGAGCCTGAAAACTCTACTCCAGTGTATTTTAGGTAGCGCACAGGCACCTCACTATCAGCAGGGGCATGCCCACAGTGGGGCCAGCCCCGGGGTTCTGTCTTGGGACTTCTCATGTGGTTCATGTTCTGCCACACAGATTGGAACTGCACCCAAATGACTTAGATTCCAAAGTCCCGTCTCTCCTATGAGAAATCACTCCCACATCCTATCCTCCTTTTATATGCCTGAATGTGAGCATTTAATATTATCAGGTTATTAATTCTTTGATTATTTGACATTATTTTAGGTTCCAAATGAAAGGCTAATGACTTTGGGGATAACATCCTACTGAATCTAAAGTCCATTGAAAAGACCAAATGGGTGAAATCTTCTAAAGAAAAGTCTGAAGGAGAAGGAAACTTAAAGATTCTTTTAATTGCCTACCTGTTTGCAATATTCCATATGCATTTGAATGCATTGTCTCACAAATCCTAAACACTACTATTAAGATAGGTGATAGCAGTTTCATTTTATAGACAAGGAAACCAAAGCCCAGGGGGTTAAATAACTTCCCTCAGGCCACACAGCTAGTAAGAGGTAGAGCTGAGATTTACGTCCACATCTAATGAATCCAAAGCAATTATTTTCTCAACAAAATCATACTGCTATAGAGTGAGGGGAGATATGTCTGGCCAGAAAATAAAACCCATGGTATAACTCCAGTAATGAAAATACAGTGATGGTTGTGTGAAAATGGTACAGAATAACTGTATCAGGCATAAGTGCAATTTTATATATAAAAGAAGTAGATAAATAATAATAGAGGCCCAAAACTGAATAGGGAAAAATGGATTAATCAATAAATTAGGGTAGCACCTCAAAAGCAATTTGGAAAGCGGTTATTGCACATTAACATGGATTGTTAGTGAATTCAATTTAAAAATTCAAATTGAAACATGTTGATTTAAATAGTTACTGAACAACTGAGTCAGGAGGACGTCCTAAATTTGGACGCAAGAGAAAAAATTACAAAAGAAATTTTTACTGGATGTGACTATTCATTTTTTTTTAGGAAAAAAATGGTGTGTGTGTAAAATAAGAAGGCAGATATTAGACTAGGAAAAATATTTTCAATGCAGGTGGCAGATGAGGATAATGATAATGTCTTTAATATATACATAAATCATAAGTAATATCAAGAAACTTATTTCAACAAATAAATACAAAAAAATCATTAAAAAACCCCAAATCAGATTTTTTAACTTTTATTTGTAATAATTAAAAATTCACAAAGAAATGCAGAGGGAGAACCCATGTCCTTTTATCTTGCTTCCTAATATTAATTTCTCTACACCTAGTTTTCTTAAAAGGAAAAATTCTTCAACCTAACTCCTACCTTAAAAATGCAAATTGAAACAATTAGATTAGTGCAAAAATTTCTAAATTATAGTATACAGTGCCATTAAGGATACAAGAAAACAGATTCTTTTCCTTGTAATTAAGAGATATTTTTCCTTAAATATTTTTAATAATTCTACTTCTAAGAACTGATTCTAAGAAATAATGATATAAAGCAAGAAAAATGTTTACAAACTTGTTTACCAACATCATGAATTTGAAAACACTCTTAATTTGCAATAATAGATGTGATGGTTACTCTGTGACACAAAAATACTATCTGCCAACTAAAATTATTTGTCTCAAAGAACTTTTAACAGTCTGGGGAAATGTTCACAAGATAATGTTAAGTGAATGTACCAGACTAGATATAAACTAAGTACAGTGTGATCCCAGCTTTTCAAATTTATCAAATATATATATATATATATATACACACACACACACACAAATATTTTCATATGAAAAGTGTATACTAATGAGTTAATAAAGGTCATATCTGAGTAATGAGACTAAGTGATATTTTTTATTTACATGTTTTTATATTTTCTATTTTGAACACATTCCTTTTATCATCAGAACAAATGTTAATTTTGAAAAAAATGGTAATGGTGCAATGTTGTTTGGGGGAAGTCATGAACTTTTATATGTTATATATAGTCATTTATACAGTTATTTCAAACAAAGCAGAGCTATATGCATAAAAAGGATTGGAGAGAAATGTGTCAAAATGCTTAGAGTGGTTGTGATAGTGTAATAGGGTTTTGAGTATTCCTTACTCTCCCTTTTCTATGTTTATTTATCTTTTTTGTAATGCAAAAAGTAAACTACCAACCTCTCATGCCTTCCTAATTTGAGGGGAATCATCGATTTGAACTGGCCAGGTTAGTGTGTCCAGTACATGCATCCTATATCGTGCACACACTCTGCTTGGGTCCCTGAAGCCCTGCTGAGTTCCAGCAGGTACTAACTGGAAGTAACTGAGGGAGTGGAACCCCAGAAAAAGCAGGGGGACAGGTATTATTTTCAGTGCCGATCAGCCAAGAAGTCCTTCTAATCCATCAGTGTAGTACGAGAAGATAGCGAGCAGGAGTGACTGGTAATAAATTAATGATTAGAACAAGTAAATAAATCATTAGAGTCTTAGATGACAGTGGCTGGTGCTCCTAAGACACAGGACCATTCCATTGTTCCAGTGAGTACTAAAGGAGCTTGGTTATTTACGACGCCATCTCCACTTTGGAGGAGAGATACTCTTCCCTTGAAGGAGACAGCTAAGATAATTTTTTTATAGATTCTAAAGTGGAGAGGAAGGCTGCTTTTCTGAAGGCTACTTGGATATCAAAATGGGCAGGATCTTTCACTGAATGCTGTGGTCCCCTGTCTTACTTGGGAAGAACCCAAGAGGAAGGGATACACATTTAAATATGTTCCTGAAGGAAACATTTCATAAAGGGACTGCTTGCCCTTTACTAACTATGGAAACCCACTGTGGCCTTCCTGTATAGCACCCCCACTATGGTATAATTTGTTTATGAGACTGAGGAGTTGTGTGTTATACTTGTAAAACTTCTAGAAGAGACATAATCTGCTTTCACTTTGGTTTCCCCAAATTATTCTGGGACTCATTTACTGTAAAGAACTTTCCACAGCCTGGGAAAATGACATCTAGGAGTAGCTCTCTTATCAGCCCCCTGAGAAATGGGAGCTATTCTTATTCCGTCATCATTCTCCAAGTTCAGATGTCACCTCTTCTGTGAAGACCTCCTAAGCCAGACCCCCCTAACAGAATCAATCTCTCCTTGCTCTCTGCTTCTAGAGCATTCTGTCACTTACATGCTCTCGGTCTCGTGTGTTGGGTGCATTCCCCGCACCACTTATTCAGGCCAGAAACCTTACTTGTTCATCGTTATATCCCTCCAACACCAACATGAAGCAGTTGCTTAATTTGTTGAGTTGACTTGAATTTTCACTTGCAAATTGAATAGAAAGCACATTCCCAGGTATTTAGGTCCTTCCCAGAGGAAAACTCGAGACCTGTTGAAGTGGGAAATAGTGGCCATTCCAAATGAGAAAATCATGATATTCTATTATGTTATTTGTATAGAGGCTTATAAAAGGGATTGGGGGATTTCCTTCCCTCAACAGAGACAGTGTGAGAGAAGAGAGATGGGCAAAGAGCTGGTTTATCTCATTCATCCATGAGTAATGAATAATCTGCCACCAGGGGCACTTCTGAACCAAAGTACACTGTTTATGCATTTTTCAAAGATGCATCAAAAGCAATCTACTGGACTTTGTGAAGCATAAGTGCAAAAGAAAGCTATGTTTCTTTGAACCAGCAAGGTTACGCATTTAGTAAAACGCAAAGGACATTTTAGGATGAAAGAATCATCCTGCAGCAGAGGATGAGGATAGAATTCAGAGTGTTGGATTTTCCCCTCTTAATGGAACCAAGACTGACCCGAACAGCGTTTTTTTCCTTTGAGATTTGTTGATGTGCTTATTAAGCAGTGGTAGTGCCTGTAAGTGAGGTGCCTGCATGGGGGATACCTACATTTTTCATTGTGTTTTGTGTGAGCCTTGCTTCTCATCAACTTTGGAGCTGACTGCTGCTTTAAGCTACTTGTTTGCATGGGCTTGTGACCTTGTGCATCCGTGCAATGAAATCAGTTGTTTATTTTGCTTCTTTTGAGATTGTTTCTAATTATGTGCATTTTTTGCTTTTGTGTTTCAAATAGGAAAACTCCGGAGATGACAATCGAGCTCTGGTCCATCAGCTTTCCAATGAAAGTAGACTGTCCATTACTGATTCCCTGTCGGAGTTCTTTGATGCACAGGAAGTTCTGTTATCTCCAAGCTCTTCAGAAAATGAGGTCTGAACACGTTTTCAGTTAGATGCCCCAAAATATCTTTTGTTGTTTTACCCATTTTGTAAATACCTATATTTAGAAAGACGAAACTCAATGACTCCTTTCTACCACTACATTGTGAGGATCTTCCTATGACTCATACCCCCAAAAAGAAGAAAGGATGCATGATTTCATTGGGGAAAGGGCTGCAAAAGTAGAAAGTGCTGTTTCCTTTTTTCCTGCTAACTTGATTTGTTCTACCTTTTTCAATTACAGGTTAATAATTTTGACGTTAATGAAATATTTCTACTACAGGGCTAGGAATTAGCATCTTGTGTATTTGTTTAGTCATTGCATTTGGCCTGTGTAAATTTACAACATATAACTATTGAAATATGACTGGTATTACAAAAATTAATTTATAACATATTGTAGTAATATTTTAAATAGATGCATAAAAATCATGCTTTCCTTAATAGGCAAGTATCATACTTGGCATTGCTGTGTGTGTGTTCATGATTTGACCCTTTTGATACAGAAGTACTCTTACTGATAATCCTGTTTGTCTAGTAATTTCTATAGAAGGTTCTTTTTTCACAATTAGCTAAAAGACAAATTTTAGCATATTCTATGAAAGCACTCACAAATTCTGAAAAGGCAGTCTGTGTTATTACGGATTTTTGTGAGAACTACAATCTTGAGTTTGCTTTGTTTTCCTTGTGAGAACAAGTCAAGAAAGTATGAGAACTTCACTAACAGGTGTTTGCTGTGAACACCTAGGCAGAATGGTGTGTGCACTGCTATAAAAACAGCATCCAAAATTATGTCCATATTTTGTAATGTGAGATTCGAAATGTTTGATCGTTTGGAGTAAAGATTTTGGGAAAATCTGACTTATTTATTCTTGTAACTCTTTTTTCTTCTTTCCTATAGATTTCAGAAGACGATTCATATGTCAGCGACATAAGTGATAACCTTTCCTTAGACAACCTTAGTAATGATTTAGATAATGAGAGACAGACTTTGGGTAAGATTTAAGTTACTGGATCTCTGAAAGTTTAGATCATCACAGATTACAAATATGCATCTATACAGAGAATACAGAGACTGTAATAAGACTTATAAGAAAATTAAGTCATGGTTCCTAGCCTCAATGATTTGTAATCTAGGAGAGGAGAGAGAACGCACGTGTGAAAACTGTCTTCATTGCAATAGATTTTTCTGCTGGTACAAATTTCTATTTTTATAAAATGAAGGTATACCAATTATCATATAAAAGTCAACAATTAATGAAACAAATATTCCTTAAATGGGCAAATATTCTGCAAAAGTATTAGAATATAGCTTTTTGCCTTTAAGTAATTAGTGGCTTTCATTTAGAAATTCTTTAGGGCTTATCTCTAATAAAAGATTTGCTTTAAGTGGTAATTTAACTTCAGGTTCTTCAAGAGAACACATTGGAAATCAGTACACTGCTAGCTTCTATCAAGGGAGGGGCGGGGCTTAAAGTAGCCTAAGATGTCCCTTTATTCATGGTTGATCCCAGGAGTAAAAATGATACCCAGGAAGTGTTCGTGTGAACCATGGGGTGCCTGGAGTTTCTGGCTATCCCCAGATAGCTCTGATTTAGTTGGGCAGCCCGAAGTCTGTCTGGGTAGGTGCTCTTTAGAAGATTCTACCCATTTTCTCTGCATGGGTTCTGGAGCATGAAGTGCCCCCAGCCCTGGAATTTAGAGCCTTGGGTTCTCTGGTTTGTCTGTACCATGCATCAGATCCCAGAGCACCACCTGTTTTCCTGTCTACACAGAGGCCAAGCACCATGACAGTCCTTTTAGATATTTCTGTGCTTCTCAGCTCAGTAAGCATATGTAAAATATGATGGGTTGTTATCTGAATGCTGCCAGCCGACTTTGGGGACCACGCAATTTTACTTACCACAGGGCAGGTAATTTTACTGTCCTCTGCAAGAACATCCTTGTAGCATCACCCCTGCTGGAAGTCAGCAGCTCGTTGTGTCCCATATCTCATTTGAAATGATTCTGGAGACATGAATTTTTTGGTGGTAAAGTCTGAGAACTAATAGTTCAAAAGAGAAGACCAATGATGCAGGAGTAAGTCTATGTGCTACCTGCTTTTCTAGAAAAACGAGGTAAATTGGAAGAAAATTGAAGAAATACCACTTATTTCCTTGGCAAACAGTGCACACTATAAAAACTCCCACTGTAGGTGAGGAAGACTCACAAACATGCAAATCCTCCTTCTTAGGGAGGAAGTCCAGGGCACTCAGGAGTAAAGGGGTCAAAGGTTAAGATGGAAGCAGATAACTTGTCCCAGAATGTAACACCAACCAGAAAAAGCATATGAGATTAAAACTGCTTCTCTCTTATTCCATAGCCATTTATATTAGAATGTTGACCAACATTGCTTTAGCTTGAACAAACTGTGGGCCCAACCCACAGTTTTCTTCTTTGGCAGTATTTGAAAGCAAAAACATGTGTCTTGCCTTTAACTGTCTTTATGGAAGATTAGATTTCTAAACATTACTACTCTGCTGAATAGATGTAAAAATAACCTTTGTATCTTATGACACAGTTTTGCCTACAGAAGGAAATAGGGTTGAGTCAGGTTTTGACAAATGATTACACTGGAATTTCTCTGAGATCCAAGTAAATACCAGGTATTTAGAGTGGTTCCTATGAATTTCTTCTAGTAATACTGTTTATCTCAAGAGGTTGTTATGAAGAATAGGTAAGATATTATAAATAAAAGGATTAGGAAACTGTCTGCCATAGAGTAAAAGTTGGTTATATATGAGCCATTAGTAGTAGTAGTAGTAATTTTTTTCAAGATTTAGATTAGTGTAATAAAAATACTTTGTGACTACATAAAACATTGTTTTTAAAACCTGCTATCATTTGTAGCTATTTACTTGTGTAAGTCATATACTTTCCATATTGAGTAAAATTAAGAAATTCAAAAATTAATTGGCTGCTAGATTAATATGAGACTACAAAGTATGATCTCTTTATTCAGAGTAAATGTTAAGTATTTAAATTTAATAAATATAGCCAAACAAAACATCACTTACTCCCATGTTGGTGTAGTGCAAAAGATTTAATTTGAAAAATAGACTTAGTAAGGATGGGAAAGGAATTTCAGAGCATGAGGAATGGAAATGGTCACAAAGGAAAAATTGATAGGGTTAAACTCCATAAATATAGATGTTTCATTCATCACAAAACCTCATACAACACATTTAAAGGTAAATGCCAAATAATGATTAAACTGTGAAACAAAAATAAAATCAGAAGAGTATAGTCTTAATATACAAGTAAGAAAGCAGACAATTTGGAAAAGAAGAAATGTCCCTGAAAGCATTCCAGACTACAGTAGGATTTTTTTAATGTAAGTCAGAACAAGAAGATAGAACTGTCTACCTAATTTACCAGAAATTCAAAATGAGGAAACACCTCAGAGATGAACACTCATGTATGCTGCTGAGAAGTGGGAATCTGATACAGCCTTTTTGAAGAAACATCTGATTCTATGAATCAAAAGCCAAGAAGACGTAGAAATCCCACCTCTATATAACCTAAAATAAGGTTATATAGAGTAGTCAAATATCTAAGAATACGAATATTCCCTGTTTTTGTTACACAGCAAGACAGTGAACAAATCTAAAAATTCTGCCTACTTTCCCTCAAATGTTAGATAATTGACTTTAAAAATAAAATTGAGTACTTTCTAGGAAGTTTTTTAAAACTTCTAAGCCAACAGTAGATAAATAAGTAAGCAAATTATAGCATATCCAGAGCATAGACTTTCTTATTCATTAAAATGATGTTTCAGTAGAATTTTTAATAGCATAGAAAATATTTAATGTTAACTAAATAAGCAGAACATAAAACAATGCATGCAGTATGAACTGGATATAGTTGGAGAAAACACTAACTGAAAGCTCTCCAAAATATAAATGACTGCTATTTCTGGGTAGTGAGATAATAGATGACTTCTATTTCCTTATAAATTCCCTGTAATAAACACAATTGGCTTTATCAGAATTTGAAGTGATTTTTAAAAAGAATTTAAGAGTTTTTAACAGAATTTAAAGTGCTTGCTTAAAAAGAGTTTGAAAGTATAAACCTGCTATATACATAGACATCTAATTTCTGGTTTTGTCTTACATGCATTAGCTTTTGAGTAGGAAACTTAAGGAGTCCCTATGAATAAAGTCCATGAGAGTTAATGCATGTAATTTCTGGTAGTTAATTTAGCTGTTTAGAGTTCATTTGTTTTCTTCTGCTTCCCCTCATGTTTTATTTATTTTTTTAAAGATTTATTTATTTATGCATACAAGAACTAGAGTACAGGCCAGAGATGTGGAGGGTGAGAGGATTCACCAGAGACAGAGTGGGGAACAGAACAGGCAGACTGACTGAAATATACTGCTGAGGGGAGCAGGGGGTGAGAGAGGAGAGGTCTGCTGTGCCATGTGGGTTGTTCCCTGCCTGGCCAGGGATCGAACTTGGGCTGCAGAGGCTGCGATAGCTTCACAGTGCTGTGTTTAACCCCTTGCGCCACCAGGAAGGCTCCCCTCCTCCCATATTTTAGATAACTGAGTTTAAAAGCCAAATTGAGCACTTGCTAGGAAGTTTTTGTTCGTGGATTTTTTTTAAATAATAAAATTAAAAAACCCTCCAGACATTGGACTTATTTCCCTCTTAGGGCCCATTCTTGAAAGTGGCGTGGAGTCCAAATCCAGAAGGAGAACCTGCTTGCCAGCCCCGGGCCCCAACACCAGCAACATCAGCCTCTGGAACATCCTAAGAAATAACATCGGGAAGGACCTGTCTAAGGTGGCCATGCCTGTGGAGCTGAATGAACCCCTGAACACGCTGCAGAGACTCTGTGAGGAGCTGGAGTACAGTGAGCTTCTGGACAAGGCCGCACAGATTCCCGACGCCCTGGAAAGGATGGTGAGGATCAGCCACCCTGCTGCGGTACCCCTGAGCTGCCAGGCCATTGGGGTGGCAGAGCTGAGATCTGCGGAGCTGGAGCTCTTGTCTTGTCCCCAGTGGTTGTATTTCTTAAATCTTTTTTTTTTAAGATTTATTTATTTATGCATACAAGAACTGGGGTACAGGGCCTCCCTGGTGGCGCAGCGGTTGAGCGCTGGGTTGCGAAGCTGCCCGCGGCCTCTGCGGCGCCGGTTCGATCCCCGGCTGCTCCCCGGCCACCGGAGGAGGGTCCCACATGGCACGCAGACCTCTCCTGCCGCCCGCTGCTCCCCTCAGCAGTGTACTTCGGTCCTTCTGCCTGCTCTGCTCCCCGCTCTGGCTCTGGTGAATTCTCTCACCCTCCCGTGCTTCTGACTCTACCCAGTGCATGTATAAACAAAACAAACAAACAAATAAATAAATAAATAAAACATGCCTCTATAAAAAAAAAAGAAAAAGAACTGGGGTACAGGCGAGAGGTATGGGGGGGTGAGAGGATTCACCAGAGAGACAGAGTGGGGAACAGAACAGGCAGATTGACTGAAATACACTGCTGAGCAGAGCAGTGGGCGAGTCAGGAGAGGTCTGCTGTGCCATGTGGGTAGCTCCCTGGCTGGGGATCAAACTTGAGTGGCTGCTAATAACTTCATAGATTCCGTCTTAACTCCTTGCACTACCAGGGAGGCCCGACCCAGTGGTTGCATGTCAATCATTTTTTAGACAGCTTCATTTTACAATGATGTCTGGTTCCCTTTTGGCTGTTTTCAGTAGCCTGTTGGATTTTTGAGGAGTTAGAGAGTGGAGGCGGGGGTAGTCCTCTGTGGCAACTGGTGGCTGGGAGTAGTTCTGCTCTGGGTTTTGTGGTTCCTCTTTCTTCAGAATCTCCATGGAATTATTCTGATATGCCTGACTGGGAAACATATCTTGAGGGTTGTCTGCATGTTTATTTTTACTACCCCGGATAGGCAGAATTTAATTTCTCAAGCTAGCTTTTTTTCTCATCCAGGGTAAATTTCCCTTGAGAATGTTTTGTTTATTTTTGGAATTGTCCCATAAACTCCTAGATTTTCAGCAAATATCATTCACAGAAGAGATTTCCGTATCAGTAATTTTCTTCTCGCCCTCCCTTATTTTATAGACTACATCACAAAAATCCTTTTCCACAAACTCATGCTAGAAAAATTCGCCTCTGTTCTCTACTCAGTATCATGTCTAATCAGGTGACAAAGCTTCCATTGTCTTTCAGGGCTGGGGATAGGGGATAACCTGGACAGACTGTGACCAGACAGCCCTGTCTGAGGTCACAGCTGACTTTGTTCTTCAAAATAGAGTGTCTCTTCCTCTTTTTGTTTCCTCATTATAGTACCTGCTCAACAAGGAGGTGCATGTTTTTATGGGGTCCTGAGACAGCAGTGACCTTCCCCAAATGCAGAGTCTCGGTCCTGGGCCTTTGCTGACTGATTGAATTGGAGTTGTCATGGCCCTTCAGCATTATGGACCTAACCATGTCATCCTGTGACTGATGGAGGACTCAAGTGTTTCCAAATCCTAAGCAGTCTGCATTTTAGCCTCATTAAAACTTCATTACTTTAGAGATGTGAAGCTTAAGGGAAAAGCTTAATAGTGACTGAAAGAGACATCCATAGTCATTCCTCACCATCTCCAGAGACTTTTCCCACCGAGGAGACTGTCTTGAAACTAATGGTGATAAGAGTAGCAGAGAAAATCAAGCCATTTTTTTTAATCTTCTTTGTTACTTTTCCTTAGAGAATTTCTGCTGAATGAAAGGAAACAAATATTATAGCTTCTAAGGCAAGTGTGAAGTCTACATTTTGGACTACTCTTTTCTTTAAAGGGAACAACTGACTTTGAGGTTGAAAGTATACTTAAAGGTATTTCATTCTTAGGGCAATTTAGAGACCCCTAGGATGTCAGCTGATTGATTGGTATAATTGACCTTGAGATGAAGTTTGAGGAAAGGTTTCGCAGCCCAGCACAATACCTCGGGGAGAGAAAGTGCAGGGAGAATGGAGGGAGCCTAGTCCTGTGGGTTGTGTTCACGGCTCCTGTGGTTCTGCTTATGCACCTGCCTGGCTTTTCTATCTGTTGCCAACCCAAAAGGAGATGCTTCATTTTCCCATGCCCTTCCCCCTCTTCTTCCCAGCATTTTGAATGACACCAGTTCCTTCTATAAATTTAATTTTTAAAAAAGATTTATTTATTTATGCGTACAAGAACTGGGGCACAGCCCAGAGCCTTGGGGTGGTGAGAAGATTCACCAGAGGCAGACTGACTGAAACACACTGCTGAGGGGAGCAGCGGGCGAGACAGGAGAGGTCTGCTTCACCTTGTGGGTCTCTCCCCAGCTGGCCGGGGATCGAACTCGTGCTACAGAGGCTGTGGATAGCTTCATAGTGCTGTGCTTAACCCCTTTGCGCCACCAGGGAGGCCCCAAATTTCATTATATTTTAAATGTGAAGGCTATTTAGAGTTTATTCAACATTGCGTCTGGGTGGTGTGACCTTGCTGTTGAAGGAACAGTGCCCTCAGTTTTCAAGAACAAAGACTGGGCTGAGCAGGGCAAATTGATTCTTAAAAGCTATCTACTGCTCTCCAGTATACTCAAGTGTGAGAAGGCAGGTGACTTTCTTTTGCTAAGAAAGTTGACTTGTGAACATTTATGAAAAAGCCCTCAACTTTTTTTTCTATATAAGAAATGTCACAATATGTGTTAGGAAGAAAAACCATTCAGACTACTACTCGACATTAGAAGAAAATTTGTTATCATACTTACGTTTAATTTTTGCTCCCCTGCCCACCAAATAAAAAGGGAAAAATAATAATGGGTCTTTTTGGTGCCCCAAAGGGGAAGTGATAAAAATGCAGAGCGCCTCACAGTGAAGGGAATATTTCATGCTCCCATATAGTTTTCCTTCCTTTGTCTTTTCGATTTTTCATTCTTCTCCAGAAAAGCAGAACTTTTTTAAAGGCACTGCATTCTGTCCTGTGGCTCAGGAAATGACTCAGATTTTTCTTTGTTCAAACTGAGTTTTTAGGTTGGTACAGGAGGAAATTGTGGATGGTTAAACTACATATGCTTGTTCCTGAATCTTGTGGGAAGTTTCATATTTTTAATGTTTTTCCTCCTCCTCTTTCCCAAAAGTCTTAGCATTCTCTGGTTTCTTTTCAGGTCATATAAATCTTTCGCCTTTTATCAAAAGCCTTAGCATGACATCAGGATTCTCAGACACTGTCTAGTTTCAAGATCCCAAACTCAGACTCCAGCTCTGAAACAGTTTAGCTCACCATCTTGAAAGCCTCTACCAGCAAGGGCAGCAAAACAAGCAGACAGTTTGAAAATGTCTGGTTCATTTGTCTCTAGGCCAAAGTGAACTTTATTTAAAGCTGCAACTTTAAACTGAAGTTGGTTTGGTTGTTTTTAAGCCCAGAGACACATCTTTGGCTCTCAGAAATAAACCAAAAAGAGAGACGTCAGGCTTTATTTTGTTCATGTCTTTGTTTGTAAAAATAAATGTGTTGGTGACAGAGAATAACAATTTCTTTCCTCCCTCTCCTAGGTGTATGTGGCAGCCTTTGCTGTGTCTGCATATGCTTCTAGCTACTTCCGAGCAGGGAGCAAACCCTTCAATCCGGTTCTTGGAGAAACATATGAGTGTATCCGTGAGGACAAGGGCTTCCGGTATTTTTCAGAACAGGTGGATATAATTCTTTTTGTTTGTTGGGAGAGATTGCTAATGCCTCTCATTAAAAGTGCTTCTGAAATATTTATTTTCCACCTTTCTCGGGCTTCAAAGCAACTGAGATAATTACAGTGCTTTTACACATGAAGGGAGAGGGATCCATTCCCTCTGAAACTTAGCCACCACCCCCATGGGTAAAAAGGTATGAACTGAGCTCCAGCGAAGCTATATGTGTTGACAGAATTCTCTTTAAAGTCAGAAGGAGAGGAATTTTCAAAGCATGAAGCAGCTTCCCAGACTGCGATTTAGGGGTTTACAGTGTGAACCCGGGCTTGTTGACATAATCATACTTGCTCACATGACCCCCATCAGAATGTGCAGCACAAAATCAACGCATTCTTTTTCATTTTGATTTAATGAATTGTCCATTCATGTATTTGTTCATTCAATCCATAAATATTTCCCTAGCATGTGCCAGGTGCCTGACATTGTTCCAGGTGCATGGGTGCTGCAGTGTGGTGGGGGTTCTGGGCAGACAGGAAAGCCTGTCCTCACCTAATGAACCCACATACCTTGTCCTCATGCAACCTGCATTCCCTGAGCTTCTGTGACAATCTTCCCACCTAAGAATGAGCAGAGAATAATAGTTGAGAACAGTCTCTGGAGCCAGAGAGCCTAGCTTCGTGTCTCAGCTCTTAACCCTCAGTAGATTTGGAAGCAAGTTACTTAACCCTTCTGGGCTTCATTTCCCTCTTTAAATCAGAAATGATAAGGTACAGACCTTAGGTGGCTTTGTGACAATTAAATAAAATAGGGGCTACAGAGCGCAGAGCAGTGTCTACGATGTGGTGTGAAGTGTTACATGAGTGTTTACTGTCACTATCAGCATATGGCAGCATAGTTTGCAATGGTGGAATGTTGGTTACATCCAAAATATCTGTCAATAAGGAATTATTTAATTGACTAAGGTGTATAAATACTGAACATAAAAACCAGTCCTCCCCTACCTGGTTAAGGCAGTGACTGAACATATCTCTCCTCTACGTATCTGCATCTCCCTAAATGTCAGCCTGGGAACTTTATACGTGATTGCTTCCAAGCTTTCCTCTCCTCTCAATTGTTAGAAGACCGAGGGAAAGAGGAATGAGTTGCTAATATAGTATTTTCCTTCCTGTTACCTTGCTTCCTTCATTATCAATGGATTTGTATGGAGGCCAGAAAGGAAGGGTGTGGCTAAGATTTATGAAGGTGGTGCTTATCTTAACTGTAAATTACAAGTGTTCTCTGAAATTCAAAGGAAAATGAATACACAATAATCCCAAAGCCCATTTCCAGTAGCTTTTCAATTAGAAACTTAAAATGAGAAATTAAACACTAATATGGGAGAAGGTAGGGGGGTAGGTATTCCTTTAAACCCAAAAGGAATAAGGTAATCTGATTCAAAGTCAACTGGATTATTTAAACCGTAAACCTAAAATGGAAAGAGAATAAATGAAAATATAATTTGGTTACCATGGTATTATATGCACTCATGTGAAAAGATTAAGGCCCAAAATAGCCCCAAACTACAGCAGACAATTGGGACAGAATGAATCTGGACAAGAAAAGAGTAGTAAGGTGAGCTCGTGTAAAGCTAAACTTTGATCCCATGAGCCTCTGTGGGCAGGACCAAATTCAAGATCTGTTGTGTCTCTTCTATAGTTATAGGGAAAAGAGAAAACAGAGCTCCTGGGCACGTGCGCACAGAGATGGAAAAAGCATTACATAACTTAGTCTTTAGTTCCATGAAATGAATCCCAAGGAAAGAAGCAAGAAAGGGGTATGGTTGTTGTTTGTAGCACAGTATGCTGGGTGTAATGTAGGCCTGCTTTCAAATCCTAACCCATCTCATCTTTGTGTGGCCTTATATAAACTATTTAGGCTTTCTAAGCCCCATTGATTCTTTTTTTTTTTTAATATTAAATTTTATTTTTATATTCCCCCATACAATTGCAAACGCCCCATTCTGACCCCAATCCTTCCCCTCCCGCCCCCCACCCCCCAAAAAGTGTCTCTGGTTCATAGTTTTTTGTTGATTTTGATTTTCACTTTCTTATATTCATTTTCCTGGTCCCTTATTTAAGTTTTCTAGATTCCTGCTATGAGTGAGACCATCCGGTATTTTTCTTTTTCTTTTTGGCTTATTTCGCTGAGCATGATCGCTTCCAGCGCCATCCATGTTGCTGCAAATTGCATGTGTTTATCTTTTTTGAACGCTGAGTAATATTCCATGGTATATATGTACCACATCTTCTTGATCCAGTCATCTATTTTTGGGCATTTGGGTTGTTTCCAAAGCTTAGCTATTGTAAACAGTGCTGCTATAAACATAGGAGTGCAGGTGCTCTTTGGAATTGATGTTTCTGTGTCCTTTGGGTAAATACCTAGGAGTGGAATTGCTGGATCATATGGAAGCTCTATGTTTAGTAGGTCCAGAAATCTCCACACAGCTCTCCATAGTGGTTGGACCAGTTTGCACTCCCACCAACAGTGCACAAGAGTTCCTTTTTCTCCACATCCTCGCCAACATTTGTTGTTGCTAGTTTTTTTAATATGTGCCATTCTCACTGGTGTGAGATGGTATCTCAAGGTAGTTTTGATTTGCATTTCCCTGATTACAAGTGATGTTGAACATTTTTTCATATGTCTGCTGGCCATTTGCATTTCCTCTTCAGAGAAGTTTCTTTTTAGCTCTTCTGCCCATTTTTTGACTGGATTATTTTCTTTGTTGTTGCTGAGTCTCATCAGCTCTTTGCAGATTTTTGTGATCAGTCCTTTATCATTAGTGTTGGGTGCAAAAATGTTCTCCCAGTTGGTGGGGTTTCTCTTTGTTTTTGTTATTGTCTCTTTTGCTGTGCAGAAGCTCTTTAATTTGATGTAGTCCCAGCTGTTTATCTTTGCCTTCACTATCACTGCTTTGGGTGATGTGTCTGTAAAGATGTCTTGGATGTGCAAATCCCGTAGTGTTTCGCCTATATTTCCTTCTATGTATTTTATGGTTTCAGGTCTTATGTCTAGTTCTTTAATCCATTTTGAGTTGATTTTTGTGTATGGTGTGAGGTAGTGGTCAAGCTTCATTCTTTTGCATGTAGTGACCCAGTTTTCCCAGCACCATTTATTGAACAAACTTTCTTTGCTCCAATGCATAGTCTTTGCTCCTTTGTCAAAGATTAGTTGACCATAAATCTGTGGGTTTATTTCTGGATTTTCTATTCGATTCCATTGGTCTGTATGTCTGTTCTTGTTCCAATACCATGCAGTTTTGATGATTATGGCTTTGTAGTATAGTTTGAAGTCTGGGAGTGTGATGCCTCCATTTCCTTCTTTTTTTTTCAGTAGAGCTTTGGCTATTCGGGGTTTTTGGTGATTCCATATGAATTTCATCAATAATTGTTCTATTTCTTTGAAGAATGCCATTGAGATTTTGATTGGAATAGCATTGAATCTGTATATTGCTTTTGGTAGGATGGCCATTTTAATAATGTTTATTCTTCCAATCCATGAGCAGGGGATGTCTTTCCATTTCTTTGTGTCTTCTTCTATTTCTTTTAACAGTGTTTTATAGTTTTCTTTGTATAGGTCCTTTACCTCTTTTGTTAGATTTATTCCCAAATATTTGATTTTTTTTTGTTTCGATAATAAAAGGGGTGGTTTTTTTGATTTCTTCTTCTTCAGATTTATTGTTTATGTATAGGAAGGCTACTGACTTTCGCGTGTTGATTTTGTATCCTGCCACTTTACTGAATTGATTGATGAGTTGAATTAGTTTTTCTGTGGAGATTTTGGGGTTCTCTATGTATATTATCATATCATCTGCAAATAGTGATAGTTTGACTTCTTCTTTTCCTATTTGGATTCCTTGGATGTCTTTCTCTTGTCTTATTGCTCTGGCTAGGACTTCCAGTATTATATTGAAAAGCAGTGGTGAGAGTGGACATCCTTGTCTTGTTCCAGATCTTAATGGAATTGCTTTCAGCTTTTCACCATTGAGAATGATACTGGCTGTTGGCTTCTCATAGATGGCCTTTATGATGTTGAGGTATGTTCCTTGTATCCCAAGAATTTCAAGGGCTTTTATCATGAATGGGTGTTGCACTTTGTCGAAAGCTTTCTCAGCATCTATTGATATTATCATATGGTTTTTATATTTCTTTTTGTTGATGTGTTGGATAACGTTGATTGATTTTCGGATGTTAAACCATCCTTGTGCCCCTGGAATGAATCCAACTTGGTCGTGGTGAATTATCTTATGGATACATTGTTGGATTCTGATAGCTAAAATTTTATTGAGGATTTTTGCATCAGTGTTCATTAGGGAGATTGGCCTATAGTTTTCCTTTTTTGTGTTGTCCTTATTCGGTTTTGGTATTAGTGTAATATTGGCTTCATAGAACGTGTTTGGTATTGTCCCTTCCTTCTCAATTTTTTGGAAGAGTTTGTGAAGGATAGGCACTAATTCGTCTCTGAATGTTTGGTAGAATTCATTTGTAAATCCATCAGGTCCTGGGCTTTTGTTTTTGGGGAGGTTTTTAATTACCATTTCAATTTCGCTGCTTGTAATTGGTCTGTTTAGGTGTTCTATTTCTTCTTTATCTAGCTTTGGGTGATTGTAGAGTTGTAGGAATTTGTCCATCTCCTCTAGATTGTTGAACTTGTTTCCATATAACTGTTCATAGTAGTTACTGATTATTCTTTTGATTTCTGCTGTGTCCGTTGTGATTTCTCCTCTTTCATTTATGATCCTGTGTATTTGTGCTTTCTCCCTTTTTTCCTTTGTGAGCCTGGCTAGGGGTTTGTCTATTTTATTGATTTTTTCAAAGAACCAGCTCTTGGTTTCATTGATCTTTTGGATTGTTTTTTTAGTTTCAATTTCATTTATTTCTGCTTTGGTTTTTATTATTTCTTTTCTTCTACTGGTTTTGGGGTTTTTTTGTTGTTCTTTTTCTAGATCTTTGAGCTTCGAGATTAGGTTGTTT